TGTGCAACCTCTTCTCCTTTTAGAAACTTCTGGATGACACTTTGTTTCATGTTCTCATCTCCACTGGGGCTTCCCAGACACCTGAAAGTTCAGGTTTGCATGCTGCTTTCTGCAGCTGGCAAGACAGGTTTCTCCATTGCCGCCCAGTTTGTGGGGTTGCTTAGAAATTACAATTGCATTCACGCCATAGCTTATTGGACATGACATTGCTTTCATGCCATACAATGACCTTGCTTCACATAGAGAAGCAGTAGAAAGAAGGGAATGTTAAGTACGTCTTTGGATGGCTTAGCTGGTCCTGCTGCATGCTTTGCTACTGATTACAGGGAACAATATGTGCCTTTGATGGAGGTAGCGTTGGTGTTCTGTGAGAAAGGTTGAGAAGCCTGACTGAACTTAACTGCATTTGCTGACACCTGGTTAGGGCTAATGTGGGTACCAGGGAAGTGTGTTAAGTGCTTCAATAGAGGTATTTTATTTTGTTTTGTTTTTTTGAGACAGAGTTTCACTCTTGTTGCCCAGGCTGGAGTGCAGTGGCGCCATCTCAGCTCACTGGCAACCTCCATCTCCCAGGCTGAAGAGATTCTTGTGCCTCAGCCACCCGTTTTTGTATTTTTAGTAGAGACAGGGTTTTGCCATGTTGGCCAGGCTGGTCTTGAACTCCTGGCCTCAAGTGATCCGTCTGCCTTGGCCTCTCAAAGTGCTGGGATTACAGGTGTGAGCCCCTGTGCCTGGCCAGTTCAGGCATGAATTTTAGAAAGTTCACTTAGATGGAAGGTAGATTTGGAGAGGGTAAGGTCGGAAGCAGGGGAACAGAATGACTAGGGGAATGAGTTTGGATGAGAGATGGATGGTAGGCACCAGCACTTAAGGGACAGGTGCAGAAAGAGTATGCTGAGGAGTAGGAGAAGGTTAGAGAAGGGTCTGTGTAGAATATAGTGGTGTGAGCTCAGCCAAGGGAGAAGAGTTTCAAGGAGGGATTAATTAGCAGTGTCAGCTGGAGTTGAGCAGTCAGTTGAAAGAGGACTTCCAAGTTTTTGGATGTGGCAGCCAGGAGGTCACCAGGGCCTCAACAAGAGCTGTGTCATGAGGGCTGGGATATTAGCAGGGGCAAACAAGGCACTCGCTTCAGGACAACATGTAAGGGGGTGCTCAAAAAGTCAGTCATCAACATAGATAATATTTTAATGCAATATTTTAAAAAACAGACATAAATGCCAAAAATCTATGATGAACAAAATACCAAAAATTTAAATAAAGACAGCATCAGTATTGCTGATTGTCCCTTTTGCGTCATATTCCAGTAAGGCTCAGGACTGAGTGTGGCTGTGTAGAGGAGATGGTGGGGTGAGGCGATCCAGGTGGAGGCCTGTTGAGGAGTGAATTGTGGTTGAAGAAACTGAAGCACTGAGTACAGACTGTTCCTTCACGAGGTCCCAGCTTTATGTGAAAGGGAATAAAGTGAAAGGATGGTTGGTCTAGGGGACCCTCAGGCTTTTTTGAGGGTTTTGGCTTTATTTTTTAAGATGGAAGAGACTTGCACATGTTTACGAGCTGGGAGGAGCCGTCTCTGGAGGTAGAGAGAGGATCATGAGAGTAGACATAGGGGCTTAGTAGAGACAGGAGGGCACACAGGGAGGCTTAGCCCTAGGCAAGCAGAGGGACAGCAGGGACCGGCTGGGGCAGTGGAAGGGTAGAAGGTGGCAGGAGTTTGTGCCTGATACATGGATGAGAAATGGCATTGGAGGTGGTGTTGGGATGGAAGAGTGGTGCAGGTTGGAGCACTCCTTGAAGGGTGTGGGAAAGGAACTGACCAGAGTCTTCTTGTAAATGAAACTGTTGAGCAGCCATAGGGCCCGGCTCAGGAAACCAGCAGGGTGTGGTGGTAAGTAGTTTTCAGATTGTGTTATCTCTTCTCCCTTCCTTCGGAACTACTTGCTACTCGAGTTGTAGGAGTGTTAGAGGCTTACTCATTAAGGCAGGGGTACTAGAGTGATCAACCATCCCTGTTTGCCTGCGACTGAGGGGTTTCCTGGGACTCGGTCACCCTGGATGCTGCAGGGCTGCAGGCAGGAGTGAAAAAGGCGAGATAGTTGAAAATGCTGGCCAGAGTTTGTAGCATGCGCCCTCTGATCTCTGGGTCTCCACTGTCAGAGGGTCTTTGAGCTCAGTTCTAGTGGCAGCCTCCTGATCCTCACTTCCCTGGCTGAGGCAAGGTTGTTCCAGCAGCCCCAGGAGTCTTTGTTAGAATCCCACCTCAGAGCTCCTTCCTCCAGTCCTCTCAGCAGTTTTGTTAGTTCCAGTATTAAGTGTAATTTCTATTAAAAAATGCCTGGAGTATTTCTGTTTCCAGAACCGGATGCTCCAGTTAGCTAGTGTGTGAAAGATAACTCTGACTTGCCTAAGCTTTGTTGGCGTTTTGCATAATAATTGGCGATAGTCTCATGACTTCTGCAAGAGAAATGAAACAGAAATTGCTCTCAGGTTTTATTTGCTCTTGTTGTGAAGGTTGGGGACAGTTTGTCCCAGGGTGTGGGTGTGGAAAAGAAGGGGAGATATAGTCATTAAATTAGAATATGCCTGTGAGGGGAGTTAAGGGGAATTCCTTTAAAATTCTAGAAAATACACATGGTTGCCAATTTTGTCTAACTGGGGAAAGTGAACTGCTGAAAACACTGCGGGGAGAAGTGAAACTAATGGAATCTTGATCAGTTAGGAGGCTTGGGTATTTGAAAGCAGGGAAGAAAAATAATTGGGCTTGGATATTCCTTTTGCCCTTCATCTGAGTAAGGTGAAGGCAAGTGAGTCTTCAGAAGAAGTGAATGGGACACTGAGTCCGACAGCTCAGGCTGGGTGGAGCTGGTAACTGATGGGCGCAAGTCCTTTTACTGGGCTCTAAAGAACTCACTCATCTGGGTGTGGTGGCTCACACCTGTAGCCTCAGCATTTTGGAAGGTTGAGGCAGGAGAATCACTTGAGCCCAGGAGTTCGAGACCAGCCTGAGCAACACAGTGGGACCCTGTCTCTACAAAAAACTGAAGACCTTATGAGCTTCCCTAGTCTAAGAGTAATTTTTATGTTAGTTTCTTGGCTTGGGCTTAAAAGAAATCGCAACAAAGTGGTGATTATTCGGACCCCAGCCCTACCTCTCCCTAGTATGCTCTCCTTTCTCAAGTGCCCAGCACCTCTAGCCACAGTGAACTGCCTCCAGCATACACACACGCTGATATTTTGCTGCATCTGAGTGGGCTGGCTCCACACGGGATCTGTAGTTTCCTTTTGATATTTTCTTTCAATGTACCAGATGCTACCACTGAGTAATCTAGATTTTGCTGCCAAACTCTACCCCCATGAGCACAGAGGGAAGACAGTATGCCAGTGCTCTTGCTGAGTGTGCGTGACTGGGTGTGATGGTTGGAAGAAACAAACTGAGCAGATCACGTTTTTTAAAATGATTATCTAATTTTGTTAACTCTTGGTGGCATTGTTATATTGTTGATATTTATGAATTACAGAAGTTAGATGACTGTGAAAAAATAGAGAATTAGAGATTAAAGCACTGTTGGCCTGCGAGTGGAGTATAGATTTGGGCTTTCCAGAGCACATAAAATTTGTATTTCTCTTTCTGAGTGCCAATTTTTCCACTTTCATTGAGCACATTTATTTTAGTAAATTTAACTTAGCAAATTTAATTTCTCCAGTTATTTACAAATAATTATATTAAGTGAAGTTTGGATGAATGGGCACGCCCATTTCAAATTTCTAACATAATTTTTTCCCCTTGTTCTCATATAAAATTTTCTATTTATGTGTTTTTATTTAAGATAGCTCAAATCTTTTGTGGACTGATATTGTATGTTAATAAATAAATGGATTCAGTGCTTCTTTCACTCAATACAGCTAGATAAATATATAAATATACTTGAATACAAATACAAAGCAACCATTGGCAATTTAGAGTTGGGTTGTGTTTCCACTTATTTTTTGTTAATAAATTTGGTTTTAACCTGAAATACTGTCTTGTAGGAACAGATAAAGAACACAGGAGGTGATTTAACGTAAGTTTTAGCTGTGAAACTTAGAGTAGATTGGTTAGCAACTTAAATTTTGCAAGAAAATAGGATGTTTCAATGGAAGAAGTTAAGAACACACCCATTGCATGAGCTCCTTACCCCTCCCACCCAGCCCCATCCCCGGAGTGAGATCTTTCCCCAGATCCTCTGTAACTTCCTGATGTTCACTGAGAATATCAGAAGTACTGATGGCAATTGCTGCCATGTAGCAGTGCATTGAGAGTCAGGGCCTCTGGCACCTCCATGGGGCTCAGGGTCTGAAGACATGATCCAAACCCGACAACTTGGTGGCAGGTTCTGTGAGCATTCGTGATGAAGTTGTGAAAAGGGCTTGGGGTCTAGGAGGATGGCAGCAGAGGTTTCTGCCACCAGGTGTGAGTGAGGGGCTTTTGAAGTAGGAGAGCAACTAGAAAAAAGGAGTGGCATAGGGACAGAAACTTCTTTTCCCCATTGTTTGTTCAAGGCCACGTGGGTGGAGTCATTGAAGTGGAGATTTAACCCTGTGAGGCAAGTTTCCCTAGTTTAGTCAGGCTGTCTGTCATTGGGCTTTTCCCTCTTCCTCCTACTACATACTTCTTCCCTATTCCTCCTACTGAGGCCATTCACCCCTTAGTTGTAATTTTCCCTGTAACATGTTTTACATTCTGATGAATTCTGAAAAAGAATGTGGGGTTTCCTAGGAGATGATTTCATCTGTTGTTTCATTTCCTTTACAATGTAGGTTTTCTTCTCTGTCTCTTTGGATTAGTCTGACGTTTTGGCTCTGTCTACCAAGGATCCCTTTCTATAGACTTCTATAGATCCCTTTCTATAGAAGTTAATCTACTTAGGTCAGGGAGACCACCAAGAAAGAAAGAGCCCATACTTTCAATCTTAGGCGTAAGGTAGCTTGATAAGATTTTCAGAAAAATTCCCTTTTAACCACAGAACTCCCCCACTGGAAAAGGATTCTGAAAGAAATGAAGTCAGCCCTCAGAAATGAAGTTGACTGCCTGCCTGCTGGCTTTCTGTTGACTGCCCCGGAGCTGTACTTCTGCAGACCCTTGTGAGCTTCTGTAGTCTAAGAGTAGGATGTCTGCTGAGGTCATCCATCAGGTCGAAGAAGCACTTGACACAGATGAGAAGGAGATGCTGCTCTTTTTGTGCCGGGATGTTGCTATAGATGTGGTTCCACCTAATGTCAGGGACCTTCTGGATATTTTACGTGAAAGAGGTAAGCTGTCTGTCGGGGACTTGGCTGAACTGCTCTACAGAGTGAGGCGATTTGACCTGCTCAAACGGATCTTGAAGATGGACAGAAAAGCTGTGGAGACCCACCTGCTCAGGAACCCTCACCTTGTTTCGGACTATAGGTAATTCATCACCTCTTCCTGAGGCTGGATAGGTGGGAGGGATTGAAGTGTCTCAGACTCTACTGAATGGCAGAAACGAGGATAATAAGAAGTGCAGCCACTTTACTGTCTCTGCTCACTTATCCAACTGCCAGATGACGTCACTTCATTCCTGTGAACGCTTTAAATTCTTGAAATTTTCTCTCTCTTCCTTTCTCTTCTCTTCTCTTCTCTTCTCTTTTGACAGAGTCTCACTCTGTTGCCCAGGCTGGAGTGCAGTGGCGTGATCTTGGCTCACGGCAACCTCCGCCTTCTGGGTTCAAGCGATTCTTCAGCCTCACCCTCCCAGGTAGTTGGGACTATAGGCGTGCGCCACCATGCCTGGCTAATTTTTTTTTTTTTTTTTTGTATTTTTAGTAGAGACGGGGTTTCACCATGTTGGCCAGGCTAGTCTTGAACTCTTGACCTTAAGTGATCCACCTGCCTTGGCTTCCCAGAGTGCTGGGATTACAGGCGTGAGCCATTGCCCCTGGCTGAAACATGCTTTCTCAAAGGAATTGGGATCATATGCAAGTAGAAGGGACAGATGGTATGTGTTTGCCTGAAGGATAGAATGACAAGACATGAAGAAAGATAGGAATGACTAAGAGCTAGTCATTCTTGCCAGCCTCTGACAGTGTGAGATCTGTGGTGGTGTTTACTAGTTCATTTTCTGTGAAGTCAGTCCTTGATAATTTCTGGTACAAAGAAAGGAAATAACAAGTCTGACAGCAATCTTCCTACCTTTGTAGAAACTCCATCATCCCTTCTGAATCCCCGTTGGCCCTACCCCTGCTGAGGAAGTTTATCAGGGTGGGCTCCTTTCCTGTGCTTCCTGCCCTTGGAGACGTTGGAGAGCCCGAACTGAAAATCTTTTCAGTTAACCACATCTTAGCCCCTTCAGTCTGAAGAGGAAACGGCCACTGGAGTCTGCTTTAGTTCCCACAAGCTTTGGGTTGCTCCTTCCTCCTGCTCACATGTTAATGTCTTTTAGAGGTTCAGAGGGGCATGGAAGCTACTGACAGACTGAGTTCCTGGGTAAAGGAAGACAACTTGTAACTTTAAGTTGGTGTTTTCTTTTTTTTGAGACAAAGTCTCGCTCTGTAGCCCAGGCTGGAGTGCAGTGGTGCGATCTTGGCTCACTGTAACCTCTGTCTCTGGGTTCAAGTGATTCTCCCGCCTCAGCCTCCTGAGTAGCTGGGATTACAGGCATGCACCGCTATGTCTGGCTAATTTTTGTATTTTTACTAGAAACAGGGTTTTGCCATGTTGGCCAGGCTGGTCTTGAATTCCCAGCCTCAAGTGATCTGCCCTCTTCGGCCTCTCAAAGTGTTGGGATTATAGGCGTGAGCCACCGTGCCCAGCTGGTGTTTTTTCTCTCGACCACCAGCCTTTTATTATGTTGATAATGTGTATTTGGAGATGATATATATTATCAAGAACTATACCAAAAAGAGCTGAAAGCAGTGTGGGCTCTGGGAAGTATATGAGATTTGACCTTGGAAAGCCTGTTTTTTTTTTTTTTTTTTTTTTGAGACAGGGTCTTGCTCTGTCACCCAGGCTGGAGTGCAGTGGCGTGATCATAGCTCACTGTAGCTGGAAGACCTGTTTCAAGCCTCAGATCTACCAGTTACGTCCAGGCAGCCTGGGCCAATCACTAACCTTGTTGGGCCTTTGTTTTCCTACTTGTAAAGCGAAAAATAATAATACCCGACTTTACAAGGTTGTTGTGAGCATCAGCTATAATAATTTACTATGTGAAGTACTTTTTAAACTGTGAAGCACTCTACAGATACAAGGGATTATCATTGTTGTTATTATTGTTTTTTTAAATCTTCCACCTATTCAGCCATCAGTTTTAATGTCAGTAGTCTTCAAACTTTCTGGGAGGTGCCAACTGAGTTTCAGTGAGTAAATTAGGGCAATCTCTCCTTTTCCCATTTCCTTGCTATGATGAGTGGAGATTCTTCAGGCCCTCTGGGAAGAGAAGGGGGCCAGTAGAAGGGGAGTGCTAGATTTATTTATTCATCTGGTGAGTGGGCTTCATTGTGTATTGGCATGTGCTAAGTGTTTTGATAAGCTCTAGGACAAAATGAAAAATCTGTCATCCTCGAGAATCTGAGAGGCTAACTGGGAAAATGGCCTGATGACAATGTCATGATAACAATACTAACCACAAGTTGTCCTTAGGAGCCCCCAGTAAAATGCAGTTATTGGTTCTCAAAGTCTATTTCCTGGAAAAAAAAAATTATACATATATATATATAGCGTTAGCTCCAGCCACCACTGAGTCAGGAGAGGCTTTCTAGGCAAAGACATCTAAGTTCAGAATCCCCGTGATCCAGATGCCTGTACCCTTTAAGTTCAGAAGTGGGCTGGGATATGTCAGGTATTTCTTTCCTTTAGCATCTTGCAATTCAAAATATGGTCCTTGAATCAACATCACCTAAGAGCTTGTTAAACAGAGACGACAAGGCTCCTTCAAATTCTATTTCTGCCTTTTATGTTAGTCATTTGGGTTCTTAAGTCATTTCACTATAACCTCTGGGGGAGCTAGGGGATTCTTTAGGAAGTTTCCATTCTCTGAGTTGTTTTCAGAAGCTGTTAGTTGGCAAAGGAGGTACCATCTCCTATTAAATGGGCAAAGACAAGATCCCTTTTTTGAGTTCCCTTAAGATCTCTTCCTGGGGTGATCCAGGCTTGCTGTTTTATGAGGGAGGGACACATTTACACAGGGGCAAGAACTAGTCTTTCAATCCATTGTTGCATAGGGGAGGCGTGGGCACTTCGAGTTGTCTTAGGACTTGTGTCTGAATTAACTAAATGAACTTTTCTGGTTTGCAGAGTGCTGATGGCAGAGATCGGTGAGGATTTGGATAAATCTGATGTATCCTCATTAATTTTCCTCATGAAGGATTACATGGGCCGAGGCAAGATAAGCAAGGAGAAGGTGAGTTTTCTTCTTTTTGGTTCATGGTCCCAAGAGCCTATCAGAAGTGGGAGCTACTATTTTTGATACAGAGAGAGGGTAGCAGGCAGTCTGCTGCCACTGTAGTGGGAGTCAGACATCTCAGGTGGTTTTTAAATAACATAAATGGGAAGAGAATTGGTTTATGAATTGAAGAAATAGGATAATAATATCTTCTGGTGTGGCCTTAGATGTTTCTTTTATCCTTGGATTTTATCCTTATTTCTGTAAAATTCATAGGCCTGGCTCATATGTGTTTCCCTCCCTGGTTTGACGGGGGTGTGGGGAGGACATCCCATCTGCTTGTGCTGGGTGGAAACAGGAAGGAGGTGCTAGTCCATTATGGTATTGCTCTCCTACTGCCATCTATTTCTCCTCAGCTGACTCAAGGTCAGTGTGGGGTCTAGGCTGCACGTAGGAGTGGGGTGGGGGGAGGTTCTTGTGACTGATGTATCTGGGAAATGGTAAAAGTAGAGATTTAGAGTTGAAAACCAGGAGGCCGGATGCGGTGGCTCACGCCTGTAATCCCAGCACTTTGGGAGGCCGATGCAGGTGGATCACGAGGTCAGGAGATCGAGACCAACCTGGCTAACACGGTGAAACCCTATCTCTACTAAAAATACAAAAAAAGTAGCTGGGCGTGGTGGCGGGCGCCTGTAGTCCCAGCTACTTGGGAGGCTGAGGTAGGAGAATGGCATGAACCCGGGAGGCAGAGCTTGCAGTGAGCCAAGGTCGCGCCACTGCACTCCAGTCTGGGTGACAGAGCAAAACTCTGTCTCAAAAAAAAAAAGAAAAGAAAACCAGGTAGTGGTGAAGATCTAGGGGATGTGTCATGATTACTAGAAAAATATTTAAAATCCATGGCCAGGCGTGGTGGCTCATGCCTGTAATCCTAGCACTTTGAGAGACAGAGGTGGGTGGATCACCTGAGGTCAGGAGTTTGAGACCAGCCTGGCCAACCTGGTGAAACTCCGTCTCTACTAAAAATACAAAAAATTAGCCGGCGTGGTGGTAGGCGCCTATAATCCCAGCTACAGGAGGTGGAGGCAGGAGAATCACTTGAACCCAGGAGGCGGAGGTTGCAGTGAGCCGAGATTGCACCATTGCACTATAGCCTGGGCGACAGAGCAAGACTCCGTCTCAAAAAAACAACAACAAAAAAGAAAAATATTTAAACTCCAGTTGGCCTAGCACAGTGGCTCATGCCTGTAATCCCAGCACTTTGGGAGGCCAAGCCGGGCAGATCACTTGAGGTCAGGAGTTCAAGACCAGCCTGGCCAACATGGCAAAACCTCATTGCTACTAAAAATATAAAAATTAGCTGGGCATGGTGGTGGGCGCCTGTAATCCCAGCTACTTGGGAGGCTGAGGCATGAGAATTGCTTGAACTCAGGAGGCAGAGGTTGCAGTAAGCCAAGATTGTGCTATTGCACTCCAGCCTGGGCTACAGAGCGAGACTCCATCTCAAAAAAATAAATAAATAAAATAAAACAACATTCCAGTTGGCCCTACGTGGTACTGTTGACCTAAGGATAGGCCAGGAAATGTTTGAGAACCTATTGTTTCTAAAATATGACAATAGGTCCTCAAAATAGGCAGGCCAGTGCCTGCCTCTGACGATTCAGATAAGTCATTGCTTGAGAATTTCCTCATGTTCCTAATGATTTTAGTTTTGTTTCTTAAGTCCCATTAAATGCAAAATGGGAAGGAAAATGAAACTAGAACTCCCTTTTTGGTTTCTGCTAGTAATTGTCTCTCCCAGTCATTTATATATATTTAAATTATGATTATTATTTTCAAAAATAAAGATAGCACTTCAGTAACCAAATGTTAAATGCAAAGGAAATAGATCCCAAAGCAATGCCTGTTTCTGAACTATAGTTTGTTCATAATCACTGTGGCCCAAGGTAAATGAATAGCAGAACACTCAAACCTTGTTGTAATTTCACTGTTTTATAACCCCCTGAGTCAGAAGGTCAGAATGAGTTGGAAGGTCCAGCATTGATTCAAATATTTTGGAAACGTTAAAACTATATCATGTGATTTTTCTCATAAAGTCTTTCCCCAGCTACCTTCCTTCTCCCTTTTTCAGAGAAGCCCTTAGAGTTTTTCACTATGAGACCAGCCTCGCCTTTTGGAAAATAATAAATTCAGGAGGGTTCTCGTTTCAGCCCTGCTCTTTCATGGTCCTTCTCAATGACACAACATGGCACACGTGTCTGTCTGCAACCAAGGAGCAGATTGATAACCAAAAAACTTATACCACCACCTCTGTTCTGAGTAAAAATCAGGAGTCTAAGTTGCTCATGACAGAGATATCTGGTTTAAGATCACTGAAGGTCACTGAAAGGGCTCATCTTGTCACGTCTTCTTACTGCTATAAATCACATGGACTGAGGTTTGCATGTGGGGCTTATTAGTCAGCTCTGTTTTTTTTTTTTTTATTTGGAGACAGGGTCTCACTCTGCTGCCTAGGCTGGAGTGCCATGGCACAATCATGGCTCACTACAGCCTTGACCTCTGGGTTCAAGTGATCCTCCACCTCTGCCTCCTGAGTAGCTGGGACCACAGGTGTGTACCACTGCACTCAGCTTATTTTTTTATTTTTTTGTAGAGATGGAGGTCTCGCTGTTTTGCTCAGGCTGGTCTCGAACTCTTGGGCTCAAGCAGTCTTCCCGCCTCAGCCTCCCAAAGTGCTGGGATTACAGGCATGGGCTACTGCACCTGGTCTAGCTAGCTCTATTGACGTTTGTTTTTTGTTGGTGGTTCTCTTAGAGTTTCTTGGACCTTGTGGTTGAGTTGGAGAAACTAAATCTGGTTGCCCCAGATCAACTGGATTTATTAGAAAAATGCCTAAAGAACATCCACAGAATAGACCTGAAGACAAAAATCCAGAAATACAAGCAGTCTGGTAAGAATTTTGGCCTCTCAGTGGCCTAGAGGAAGTACTCTGTGCATGGAGCGGGGCGTGACTGGTAAAGATTCATTTGTTGGATAGGTGGATGGAATGGAACCCGGATGACCAAAGCCCCCTTTAGCTTGTGGCTAGAAATCACGTCCCTTTATATTCTTCATATCTCAGATCTGCCAACTCCATTGCCCTGTATATTCATGATCTCTGCAAAATGCTGCCAAGCAGTTCTTAACATTTCAGTCTTCAAGAAAGAATCTGGGATCTGCACAGGCTGGCAGAGCTATGGACATTCAGGAGTTTTGCATGTATGCTGAACCCTACTGCCTTGCTCTGGTATTTGGCCTCACAACCACTATCCAACTTCGGGTGATGTCACTTGGGTCTCATACTTTCCTTGCATGTGTCCCAAATTTCACAAAACTTCCTTACGGAAAAGAGCACATTCGATTTTTTCCTTGATAAAAAGGACCAGACTCACATTGGCCTTCTCCCTTACTTGCATCCCTCATTGTCTTTTAGACTCAGCCTCAGCTTCGGCTCTGTTAGCAAGTTCACTGCCACCATAGCATCACAGCCTAAAGGGCATGGCTGAGACTCATTGATCTATAGAGCACTCTTCCACCCCAACACACTCTAAATTTGTCTGATCAAAGATCGAGAACAGAAGTAGCATTTATACTCCATTCTTTTTTTTTGTTTGTTTTTTGAGACCTACTTGATTTATTCTGATTATTTAACACACAGTGACTCGACAGTGATCCCAAAGTGTGCAAAGTTAAAGCCTTCAACTGCAGCTGAGGAGAGGGCAGGAATGGTACACCTGGGGATGGTGGTGAGTCAGGAATAACAGGCAGGCAGCCATGACCAGGGCGGCCTCCTCCCCAGGGCCAGGGACTGGGGAGTGGCCTGAGGAGCAGGACCCAAGGGTAGCCCAGGGCCAGGGAAGGGGGCAGAGACCTCCCCTTGGCCTAGGTCAGGAGCTCAGAAGTGCCACATGGCTGAGGGGGCAGCAGCCCGGGAAGGGCCAGAGGCAGGGCCAGGAGAGCACCATTTCCTGGGGGACTGGGGACAGGGAGGTGCCCTACAGGAGAAGCCAGGAGGAGCCTCCTGCCCCTGGGGTGGGGGCTGGGCTGGAGCAGGCTGCAGCAAGAAAGACCTGAGGCAGGTGCAGGGCCTGAGAGCCTGGCTGGCTGGATTCAGGGGGTATCCCAGGGCAGCCTAACCCAGGGAGCAGTCCTGACTCTGCAGGGGATGCTCAGCGAGGGTGGCCGCAGACCCCTCAGAGCCTCCCCTCCTCTCTCCCTGGAAAGGAGCTGGGGAACCTGTAGTGCAAATCTGTGGACTCAGTGATGGAGGGAGGCTGTGCCCGAAGGTGGACACTGGGGTGCACTCCCTCCACCACCTCGCCCTGCACCGCTGTCCTCAGTACAGTCGCTTCTCGTAAGAGTGCAGGCCATGGACGCCACCCTCGATCTGGGCCGACATGGTCCGCTTCTCAAACTTGAGCTCTGCTGAGCACATCATGGACCGAAGGACAGACAGGCTGCAGGCCCCGATATCCTGGCAGCCATGCTGGATGCCCACTATGAGGTAGGGCATGAACTTCTGAATGGCCCCTTGGTCCTGGATGGAGCCCGAGACACCCTGTGTGATCTTCACCTTATCCCTGTCATTGAAGTATTGTTTCTGGCTGCTGCTCTTCTGCATGGCATCCAGTGAGCCCATGCCCCGATACTTCCTGAGGTGCATTCTGTCTGAGAAGTACTTGCCGGCCTCCGTGGTGGCGGCCAGCAAGGAGCCCATCATCACTGTGGAGGCTCCAAGGGCCAGGGCTTTGACCACATGCCCCACGGTCTGGATGCTGCCACTGGCTATGATGGGCACACCAAAGCGCTGGGCATGCTTGGCCACCTTGTACACAGCAGTGCCTTGGGGCCGACCGAAGACCATCACTTCCTGGGTGATGTAGATGGAGCCGCAGCCCATGCCCATGCGCAGCCCGTCCACACCAGTGTCAATAAGGTTGTTGGCCTGGGCTGCTGTCACCAACGTTCTCTCCAGTCACCTGGAGGTGGGGGTACTTTTGTTTGATGTAATGCACCATGGCAATCTGATACACTGAGTTCCCTTGGGATGAGTTCAAGACTATGATGTCGACGCCTACCTGGGTGGGCAGGTCCAGGCAGTATTTGTCATCCTCACGGGTGCCCACAGCTGCCCCGCACAGCAGCTGCTTATGGGAATCCTCGGAAGCCACAGGGTAGTCTCGGTTCTTCTTCAGGTGGGTGTCGGTGATAATGGCCACCAGCTCATCTTGATCATTGACGGTAGGCAGCTTCCCTTTCTTGCTAAGCTGTGGGATCTCATTTGCCTCTTTCAACATCACACCTGCTGGAACCACCACTAGCTCGATCCTTGGCGTCATTGCCTCACTGAGGAGGGTGGTGTGGTCCTTCTCAGCAAGAAAATCGATGTCTCGGGAGGCGACGATGCTCACCAACTTGCTGCCCATGGTGCCTGTCTCCGTGATGGGGATGCCAGGGAAACCATGCCGCATCTTGGCCTCCAGCACATCACCCACAGTGTGCGAGGAACTTAGCACCACCAGGTCCGTGTTGAAGTCCTATTCAAACTTCTTGACCTTCCGCACCTCACTGGCCTGAAACTCTGGAGTGAGTTGTGGTGAATGAAACTAATACCTCCTATCAGAGCCATGGCGATGGCTATGTCAGCCTCTGTCACACTGTCCATGGGGGAGGAGACCAGTGGCATCTTCAGCGTGACCATCGGGTCAGGGCTGAGGTCAGGTCCACCTCATCAGCTATGAAGTCTATGAATCCTGGGAGAATCAAGAAGTTGTTGTAGGTGAGTCCCTGGTCGCTGGCAAAGAGCTGCTGTGCGGTGAGCCCGTCCTGGAGTATGTAGCTGGTGCCGCCGCTGATCAGGTACCGCCATGCTGCTGCGAGGCCCCGTGGGACCCGACATAAACGCTGCCGCTGCTGCTGCCGCCTACACCGCGCCGCTGCCACCCTGCAACCACGGGCCGGGTGGGCCGGGGGCGGGGGCTGCGGCGGGGCGGGCCAGGGCGCCCTATACTCCATTCTTAATGATGTTTGGTCGAAGAGTCATCTGAAATTTTGAATTCAGTAAGGGTATTTTGTTTAGGGTATTTTGTATTCAGTTTAGGGTATTTTGAAAGCTGATGGTTGACCTTGGACTGAACCACTGTTGAAGATTTATTTGATAATAATTTATAAGTTTTAACTCAGTACCTCTCTTCTGCTTTTATAGCTCAAGGAGCAGGGACAGGTTATAAGAATGTTCTCCAAGCAGCAATCCAAAAGAGTCTCAAGGACCCTTCAAATAACTTCAGGGTGAGTCTGGAGCAAACATATGGAATCCCAGCATGAAACCGTTTCAGAGTTCTAATAAAAATATACATATTCTCACAGCATGTACTTTATTTAATATCTGAGAAAATTGTGATAGAAATGTGTATTTGTTTTAAAAACGTGTAACTTCTTATAATTTCAAAGCTAATACATGTTCATTGAGATATTTGGAGAATATAGAGAAAGATAAAAGAAAATAAATCACCTATATTCCACTATTCAAAGACAACCACTGTTAGTATTTTGGTATATTTCCTTCTAGACTCTTTTTTGTGGGTTTGCATTTGTATCTGTATATATATATATACAGTTGGACAATTGGACTCTTTTTTTACTGTTCATTTATTCACTTGAAATTGTAACTTAAAAAAAGAAAATGTAACTTTAAAAATAGAAATAGATGCACCATACCTATGGAAAAAAATTTTAAATGTACTACAAGAAGTTTTAAAAGTATATTTTTGCCCGGGTGCGGTGGCTCACGCGTGTAATCCCAGCACTTTGGGAGGCTGAGCCAGAAAGATCACCTGAAGTCAGGAGTTCGAGACTGGCCTGGCCAACATGGTGAAACTCCATCTCTACTAAAAATACAAAAATTAGCCAGGTGTGGTGGTGGGCGCCTGTAATCCCAGCTACTTGGGAGGCTGAGGCAGAAGAATCGCTTGAACCCAGGAGGCAGAGGTTGCAGTAGCCAGATCGCACCATTGCACTCCAGCCTAGGTGACAAAAGTAAAACTCTGCCTCAGAAAAAAAAAAAAGTATGTTTTCTTCCTACCCCTATAATACTGACCTCCAATTATTTTTCCTAAAGGCAGCTGTTGTGAACTAGTTCATTCTGTAACTATCCAGAGATAGTCTACACATATATTTCATTTTTGCTTTTTTCTCTTTTGCAGATGATAGCACCCTATGTCCATTGTCCTGACTTGTAAATTCTTGGAAATTGTTCCATATGATTAACATGGAACTGCCTCTACTTAATCATTATTTTGAACGATTAAATAGTTTCATTTTCTAAATGTGTTATAATGTGTTTAGCCCTTTCTTGTTGCTGTATGTTTAGATGCTTTCCAATCTTTTGTTACTACTAATAATGCTATAAAATAAATACCCTTGTACTTCTTTGTGCATTTGCTTTTTTACTGAGCTAATTTTAATGATTTCAGCAAAAGTTATTTTGTTATTGAGTGATGAAACAAAAGATTTTTGAGGGTATTCACGAGCATAAGTATCACATAGTCACTTATGATTGTTGTGTTCGTAGTACTTAGTACAAGGTATCAGAATTGTTCTTCAGTTAATCTTTTATCTTGAGAAGTTAAATCTTGGTGTAATCTTATCCTCATGTTCATATAAAGGTATGTGGAGTTTGTAGTGAGGACTTAGACCCGCGTACAATTTCCTCGTTAAATTAGAAATGCTTTTCGCAGTGTTAACAGCTCTTTTAGAATTTGTCTAGCAGGCTTTTCAGTTTTTGCCAGAAAGCCCCTAAAAAAAAAAGAAGGAAAAAAAATGCTTTTGTCTGGGTGTGGTGGCTCATGCCTGTAATCCCAGCACTCTGGGAGGCTGAGGCAGGCGGATTGCTTGAGCCTAGGAGTTTGAGACAAACCTGGGTAATATGTCAAAACCCCATTTCTTCCAAAAATACAAAAATTAGCTGGGCATGATGGTGTGCCTCTAGTCTCAGCTACTTGGGAGGCTAAGGTGGGAGAAATTGCTTGAACCTGGGAGGTTGAGGCTGTAGTGAGCTGTGGGTGTGCCACTGCACTCCAGCCTCAGTGACAGAGTGAGACCTTGTCTCTAAAAAGAAAAGAAAAAAAAATATGTATGTATGTGTATATATATATGTAAATGCTTTTGTAAAAGGATATAATGAAAACATTAACCACTCTTGTAATATAAATGGTTTCATGGCGAATATGTCTGTAAGATACACTACTGAGCAGTACAATTTCAGAGCTAAAATGGATTTACGGATTATATTATCCAATCCCCTTAATGAACAAAATAAGGAAACTTAGCCCTAAAGAACATTAAGTGATTGTGTACCTCTAACTACTAGCAGAGCTGGGCCCAGCCCATACTCCTTCCACTGCACTGTGATGTATATAATAAACTGTATACTTGTCATGCCATAGCTTAGATATAGCATACTTTTTGTTTATTTTGAGACGGAGTTTCATTCTTGTTGCCCAGGCTGGAGTGCAATGGCATGATCTCGGCTCACTGCAACCTCTGCCTCCTGGGTTCAAGCGATTCTCTGACCTCAGCCTCCCAAGTAGCTGGGATTACAGGCATGTGCCACCATGCCTGGGTAACTTTGTATTTTTAGTAGAGACAGGGTTTCACCATGTTGGTCAGGCTGGTCTTGAACTCCCAACCTCAGGTGATCTGCCCACCTCAGCCTCCCAAAGTGCTAGGATTACAGGCGTGAGCCACTGCGCTTGGCCTAGCATACATTTTTTAAAAGAATGAAATGTGCTTTCTTTTGTCCTTCTGAGTCTCTGTAATACCAAATAATGAGAAAAAGCAGATTTAGGATTCAGATCCAGGTTTCCGAGCTTTCTCTGCTATTGTCTGTCTAATATAAATTATATTGTCATTCTCAGTTGAAAACCTGTCATATTTTTACTATTGTGTTTCTATTTTGTAAATGAGGCATATTCATTGCTATGTAGCCTGTTGTGAGCCCATATGCTTTGCATATTAGTTTCTCCTTAAATTTTCTATATTTAATATGTCACCCTAAGGCTGGGCACGGTGGCTCACACCTGTAATCCCAGCACATTGGGAGGCCAAGGCAGGCGGATCACCTGAGGTTGGGAGTTCGAGACCAACATGGAGAAACCCTGTCTCTACTAAAAATACAAAATTATCTGTGTGTGGTGGTGCATGCCTATAATCCCAGCTACTTGGGAGGCTGAGGCAGGAGAATCACTTGAACCCGAGAGGCAGAGGTTGCGGTGAGCCGAGATTGTGTCATTGCACTCCAGTCTGGGCAACAAGAGTGAAACTCCATCTAAAAAAAGTGACCCTGATTATTCATTCATTAATTTAGTAAGCAGGCACTATGGCATATGAATGCAGTGACTTCCTTAAGAGGTTTAGGAGCTGAATACCTAGAAGTTAACTCATATGAGTCTGCAGAAGTGCTTCAAAAATTACTGTGTGATTAAATGCCACAGGATACCACAAGATATTATAGAATTAAGAAATTATGGCCCGGCGCGGTGGCTCACGCCTGTAATCCCAGCACTTTGGGAGGCTAAGGCGGGTGGATCACGAGGTCAGGAGTTCAAGACTAGCCTGGCCAAGGTGGTGAAACCTTGTGTCTACTAAAACTACAAAAATTAACCAGGCGCAGTGGCAGGCGCCGGTAATCCAAGCTACTCTGGAGGCTGAGGCAGGAGAATCACTTGAACCCGGGCGGCAGAGGTTGCAGGCGCCACTGCACTCCAGCCTGGGCGACCGGGTGAGACTGTCTCAAAAAAAAAAAAAAGAATTTAAAAATTATATGGCTACAATACAATGCTTTTAAAATCCATCTTTGATGTGATATGTTACCTCTCTCTAATTGTATAAGTGAATACACATCTATGCATGGGGCCAGTTTCTATCTGATATGATCAGCCTCTGGCTAAGTTACTAATTATTAGTAAAAAAGGCAACTTACTTTTTTTTTTTTTTTTGAGACAGAGTCTCGCTCTGTTGCCCAGGCTGGAGTGCAGTGGTGCGATCTCGGCTCACTGCAAGCTCTGCCTCCTGGGCTCATGCTCAACCTCCCGAGTAGCTGGGACTACAGGCACCGGCCACCACACCCGGCTAATTTTTTGTATTTTTAGTATTTTTAGTAGAGAGGAGGTTTCACCATGTTAATCAGGGTGGTCTTGATCTCCTGACCTCGTGATCCGACAGCCGCGGCCTCCCAAAGTGTTGAGATTACAGGCGTGAGCCACTGCCCCCGGCTGGCAACTTACATGTTTTTAATTTAGAAACACAGACTTAGCTACTGACACAGCTTAACAGATAGTGCACTTCTCTCTTTTGGCTAGGTTAGCTTCAGAGAAGAACTGTCATTTGAAAGCTGAGTGTCTCAGATGGGTTGACAGCATGTGGTATGTGTATCTTACATAGGACCTATCGTCTGAGAAGAGAAAGGGTTGGTTTAATCTTTCATTCTCTGATTACTCTTACTCTAGCCCTCAGAAGTGGTTTACGAAGAATATTTGATTATCAAGAATCAGGACCATATGTTGCTTATGTGTAGCTAGGCAATGATAGAAAAGCAATAACTGGACATTTATGGTGTACTTCCGTGTGTTTGGCACTGTGCTGAGCGCTTCGTATGCATTAATCTTCATACAAAATCTGTAAGGTATCTATTATTATTATCCTCATTTAGCATATGAAGAGACACACATACAGAAGTTAAATAACTTGCTCAAGATTACATAGCTAATAAGTGGCAGAATCAGGATTCCTAGCCAGGTCTGTCTGGGCTAGAAATCCAACTCTTAACCATGCTGTACTTTGCCCCATGTTGAAGGAACAGGTGGAATGTCAATCTCATGTTCTAACAGCTTATCCTAACCTGGAGCTATGCTAGCAACTATACTATACTGTAACATCAGCTTTTATTGGGCTATTTTGAAACATTCTACTATGCTAGCTTTAGCATATTTTTACTTTATTATTTTTTTTTATGTTTCTGACAGAGTTTCACTTTTCACTCTCTTCGCCCAGGTTGGAGTGCAATGGCGCCATCTCAGCTCACTGCAACCTCTGCCTCCCTGGTTTAAGCGATTCTCCTGCCTCAGTCTCCTGAGAAGCTGGGATTACAGGGGCACCCACACCATGCCCAGCAAATTTTTGTATTTTTAGTAGAGGTGGGGTTTTACCATGTTGGCCAGGCTGGTCTGGTCTGGAACTCCTGACCTCAGATGATCCAACCACCTTGGCATCCCAAGGTGTTGGGATTATAGGTGTCAGCCACCACTACTGGCCTATTTTCATTTTTTAAAAGCAGAATTTCCCTGTTCTTTGGTAATATGATATGGGATTTATGGAGTTAACAGCTCTTGCTATTCTTTAGATAATTTAACTGTGGAGATGATATTTTTATTTTTTTCCTGGGTTAAGAATCCTATTGAGATATTTAAAGAGGTGTAATGTATAATGTACCTCTGAAATAACAAACAGGAAGTGTGACCTTATTCTTTGTATTTGAAGCTCCACAATGGGAGAAGTAAAGAACAAAGACTTAAGGAGCAACTTGGCACTCAACGTAAGACCACCTTTTTTTAATATTCATTCTTTATAAATGCTTGATAATTTTAGTACAACTGTTGCATTTTTAGAGTTGGCAATTTCCTTTATCTGCATAATCTAAGTAAGCTCTCAAAATAAAAACCGGTTAAGCTCTTACGATGGACTCATTGGCATTTCTAGTTGTCTATTGAATTAGCTTATCTAAGTTTGAACACCATCATACTCCATCAGCTTTGTCATCTTGGCTATATTTTAAGAGATGTGACGTTTATAACTGAAATGGAATGGAGCTCTAACCAGGCCATGTTAAACATTCATCCAACCATGATAATGAACCGTGTTAAACCAAATATCTAGCAGCAGGAAGAGGAAAGGTAAATAAGTTCTTGTCTTATAGCCCATTTAATAAATCTGGATATTCTACAGATGATATCCCCCCTTTCCTAACAAAGAAAGAAAACGTGCAATTTAAAGACAGGTCAATTTCAACCCGCATGATCTATTTTCTCTCTTAAAACATTAGCACTTGATCCCATAGATCATTTTTTAAAAGATTACTTCTTTTTTTTTGTTTGGAGATGGAGTCTTACTCTGTCACCCAGGCTGGAGTGCAGTGGTGCACTCTCGGCTCACTGCAGCCTCCACCTTCTGAGTTCAAGTAATTCTCATGCCTCAGCCTCCTGAGTAGCTGGGATTAAACGCAGGCACCACCACACCCAGCTAATTTTTTTTTTTTTTTTTTTTTTTGAGACACAGTCTCGCTCTGTCACTCAGGCTGGCGTGCAGTGGTACGATCTCGGCTCACTGCAGCCTCCGCCTCCTGGGTTCAGGTGATTCTTATGCCTCAGCCTCCGAGTAGCTGGGATTACAGGCTTGCGCCACCACACCCAGATTATTTTTGTGTTTTTTGTAGAGATAGGGTTTCACTCTGTTGCCCAGGCTGGTCTCAAACTTCTGACCTCAGGTGATACACCCGCCTTGGCCTCCCAAAGTGCTGGGATTACAAGGATGAGCCATGGCACCCAGCCTAATTTTTGTATTTTTAGCAGAGACAACATTTCACCATGTTGGTCAGGCTGGTCTCAAACTGCTGACCTCAAGTAATCCACCTGCCTTGGCCTCCCAAAGTGCTGGGATTACAGGCGTGAGCCACTGTACCCAGCAGAAGTTTACTTCTTTTGCTTGAGTCCTCCTTGAAGTGAGAGCTGAGACTCTGTCTTACACTGATGAAGCACATGGTTGTGGTTCCGAACTCCAGGAAGCAGGGATTGATGGGCTGCGATGGAGGGCTTCAGTCTTATCCAAGGGGCTTGGAATCTGTCCTGTGTGTGGTGGGACATCATGAATGTTTTGAGTGGGGCAGTGGCCTAATAGAAGCCCTCTTTGTGTGGCAGTCCCCTTACGGATACCTTATGACTCAGTCTTTGTGCTGTGTGTACCTGAAAACTTATTTTGGCCTGGATTAGTCAGATGGTGTAGCTCATGCCTGTCATTCTCTACCTGATACTGTGCTTTTCAGCAAAAACTACTGAGAAGCGAATTAATTCCTGAAATAACAGCATGTTTCTTAAAACACTGGTGAGGTGATGAGAATTAGTATTCCGAAGGCTGTTTAAAGGGAAAATAGGAGACCTAGTAGATTTGCATAGGAATTAATCCCAATATCCCTGTGATCCTATTAGGAGAGCTGCTTACTTGTTCTTGCTTGGACTTGGTTTATTTGCTAATAAAGAAAAAGGTTTCTGGGCTGGACATGGTAGCTTATGCCTGTAATCCCAACACTTTGAGAAGTCGAGGTGGGTGGATCACCTGAGGTCAGCAGTTCGAGACCAACCTGGGCAACATGGTGAAACCCCGTCTCTACTAAAAATACAAAAATTATCTGGGCGTGGTGGTGCACGCCTGTAGTTCCAGATACTCGGGAGGCTGAGGCAGGAGAATTGATTGAACCTGGGAGGTGCAGGTTGCAGTGAGCCGAGATCTTGCCACTGCACTCTAGCCTGGGCGACAGAGCAAGACTCTGTCCCCCCGCTAAAAGCTTTCTAATAACTTGGACTTAATTTAATAGAGGTTTAAAATGGTCAGCCAGGCATGGTGGCTAACACCTGTAATCCCAACACTTTGAGAGGCCAAGGTGGGTGGATCACGAGGTCAGGAGTTCGAGACCAGCCTGACCAACATGGTGAAACCCCATCTCTACTGAAAATATAAAAATTAACCAGGTGTGGTGGCACGCACCTGTAATCCCAGCTACTCAGGAGGCTGAGGCAGGAGAATCGCTTCAACCCGGGAGGCAGAGATTGCAGTGAGCCGAGATCGTGCCATTGCACTCCAGCCTGGATGACAGAGCGAGATTCCATCCAAATAAATAATAATAATCAAACCAAATATTTATATTAATTTGGACTTCCAAGTAAATTTCAACTATTCAGCCACCATTGAATTTAATGAGGATGGTGATAACTTCAATTTAGTAAGTTCTTGCTAAATGCCTTAAACTGAGATAGATATATCACATAGATTATTTTGCGGGTTTTCTTTGTTTGTTTGCTCTGTTAATATATAATTGCTAAAATACAAAAAATATAAAGTGAAATTTCCTCTTTCAAGTATCAGAGATAGCTGCTATTAATGTTTGATTTTTATACCTCTAGATTCTTTTATATTTAAGCATATATTAATACATGTGTAAGTATATGTACACAAATAGATATTTTTAAGTACACAGAATCAATATTATACATATTATTTAATAATCCATTTTTCACTTAATATATCCTGTGTATCTTTTTTTTAAATTTATTATTATTTTTTTTGGAGACAGAGTCTCGCTCTGTTGCCCAGGTTGGAGTGCAGTGGCACAATTTTGGCTCAAAACTGGTCGTTCATTCACCTCCCTGACCTAATCAAGTCATTTTTTTCTAGCAAATTAGCTTTAGGCTCATCTGCATTTGCCAGGCTCACTGCCCCCATTGTCACTGTCTTGCCATTGACATTTTATTTTATGATCTCCCAGTATCACTGGACTATGAAAACAGTGCCATCTGTTTTATAGCTAGCAAACACATATAAGCTTTCCCTGCTCTGCACTCTCTAAGGCTGTTCCCTTTAGGTATTGTCAACAGTTTCAGCACTTATAGGAAAGCTATCAGTATTGTTGGGTGGTGAGGTTATTAGATTCTCCTATCAAGTTAAAAACTCACCAGCCACCTGTTCCTCACCTAGAGTGAGGTAGGGGAGAGCCTTCTTCACTTGCTGTTTAAGCAACTTTTCCAGATAGCCCCTGGTAGCACTGGGACTTGTGTTTTCTTTTTTTTTTTTTTTTTTTTTTTTTTGAGACGGAGTCTGGCTCTGTCGCCCGGGCTGGAGTGCAGTGGCCGGATCTCAGCTCACTGCAAGCTCCGCCTCCCGGGTTCACGCCATTCTCCTGCCTCAGCCTCCCGAGTAGCTGGGACTACAGGTGCCCGCCACCTCGCCCGGCTAGTTTTTTGTATTTTTTAGTAGAGACACGGGGACTTGTGTTTTCTTATGTCACTTTCTTCAATGTGAGGTTGGAACCTCACGGCCAAGTACAGCTGGGGAAAGAAGAGATAATTGAAGAAAATAGGAAGGGAGAACAGTTGTGATACAAAGAAACTAAGCCAGTGTGGGGGTGGACTTAGCTCTCCTTCAGCTTTGTAAATGATCTCTCTCTCTCATCCCCCAGAAGAACCAGTGAAGACATCCATTCAGGAATCAGAAGCTTTTTTGCCTCAGGTACAGAATAAATGGTCTGATTTGGTATTATATGTACATAGCTGTGGAGAACCCTGACTTCTTTAAACATATCTGTCCATTAAGAATTCTTTGAGACAATGGGAGGCTGAGAGTGTTGTTCTCCTGAGAACTTCCATACAAGGGAACTCTGAATAACAAAGAGAAAGTTGTTAAAGGGAGGATTGCATTAGTGAACTTTGAAATGCAGGGAAGTTCCAAAGTAGCACCCCTTGTCTCGACTCAGTGACTGCTGAACATGTAAGTCAGCAGTGATACTTCCCTGAACTTTGACTTGTTCTGGCTTTTTATTAGGTTGACACTTCTTTGTAAGCAGAAGCAATAGAAGGGCTCCCTTTGTACTTGGGAAGATACCACTTATATAACTTCAGGTTACTGTGGAGACAAATGACTCATGTTTTCTCTGTTTTTCAAATTATCTTTATTCCACAAAGCCAATAAAGAGAATGGGATTTTCATTAAAATTGAATAAAAATAAAATAATTTGTCTTGAGCACATTACCCTAATAGAGGAAAAATTTGATATTAATGGGAAACATTTGCCATAATGGGAAACTTCAGGCTGTGTCTGTTGAGTGATTCACCTGTCAAAGGAAATCCAAAAGAAGAGATGGTATATGAGTGGAACCTCATAGAAACAGAGCAATATCCAGAGTCTTTAGCAATTCTTGCCTTCCTTTCCAGAGCATACCTGAAGAGAGATACAAGATGAAGAGCAAGCCCCTAGGAATCTGCCTGATAATCGATTGCATTGGCAATGAGACAGGTAGGTGTGGAAGCTGCAGATTAACCGGCCCTCAGATTGAGATCATGGCACAGGCAAGCTGTATTCATTAGAGTGATCAGCACCAGTTGCCATGACAAACCAGTTCAATAATCTGTGCTTCAGGCTGGGTGTGGTTGCTCATGCCTGGAATTCCAGCATTTTGTGAGGCTGAGATGGGAGGATCGCTTGAGCCCAGTTAAAAATTAGCTAGTGTGGACCAGGCATGGTAGCTCACACTTGTAATCCCAGCACTTTGGGAGGTGGACGTGGGTGGATCATGAGGTCAGGAGTTCAAGACCAGCCTGGCCAAAATGGTGAAACCCTGTCTCTACTAAAAATACAAAAATTAGCTGAGCATGGTGGCGCATGCCTGTAGTCCCAGCTACTTGGGAGGCTGAGACAGAAGAATTGTTTGAACCTGGGAAGCAGAGGTTGCAGTGAGCCGAGATTGCACCACTGCATTCCATCGTGGGTGACAGAGTGAGATTCTGTCTTAAAAAAAAAAAACGTTAGCTGGTGTGGTGGTGCACACTTGTAGTCCCAGCTACACAGGAGGCTGAAGCAGGAGGATCACTTGAACCTAAGGAGGTCAAGGCTGCAGTGAGCCAGGATTGTGCCACAGCACTCCAGCATGAGTGATAGAGCAAGACCCTGTCTCAAAAAAAGAAAAAATGAATATGTGGTTCAACATAACAGAGACTTGTTTCTCATTCATGTCACAGGCTGGTGTGGATCGGGCTGGGGGGGGCTTTGTTCATGTGGCCATTCAATGGCTCCATCATCTTCTGAGGTCTTTGGTTTTCTGCAGTGTCCTTTGTATCTGGCTAGCAGATAAGGGAAGAGAGAATGTGTGGAAGATCTTTTAAGAGATTTTAGAGACCAGGCCTAAAAATGATAATATACATCATTTTCACCTCATTAGATTGGTCAGAACTCAGTCATGTGGCTCCATCTAACTGTAGTAGATATGGAGAAATTAGTCTAGCTGCGTGTCAGGAGGAAAATGAAATGGATTTGGGGAACACGTAACAGTGTCTCTGACACAAAGACATCATTTACGGTAGTTGGTGAGCTTCAGTCTTGCCTTTTCATTTGGATGCTATAGCAGGGAGGAGTCCTGGAACCCAGAGGGACATTAATATTAACGGAAGGCATTCTGGCTTCAGATACTATCACATGCCCCATCATTTCACCTAGATAGATGACAAAAACTTTCCTGGGAACATTAAAGACATGATAAATGTGAGCTCACTTACAGAGCTTTGGATATTTTCTGAGCAATGTGTCAGTTCTGCTGTCCTTTGCTTTGGTTGTTGGCCTCACAGCCTCTTCTATCTGTGAGTCACCATTGCTTTTGCTCAGTTGTTGTTGGATGTCTGACTCAAACTGAATCACTGGTGCTGCATCAAAAGAGAATGAGAAGAGCATAGATAAGTGGAATGACTTTCTGTTTAATTATTTAGCTCTTCCTTAAGAGGATCGATCATTATATTTCCAGTTTTAGAGCTTCCCAACATTCTCTTAAAATGAGTCAGAACTATCTTTTAGGCTCACTTAAAATGTTACCATGGAGAGTTTTATAGGAAGAGAGGTTAAAAGAAGGTCAAATATAAGACTAAATTTTCCAGGATTTCAGATATGATCCTGCTTGGTCATGTCCTGTTTTTGGTTAGATGTGAGAAAGATAAGTGTCTTCTCCTTTTTAGCCATTAGTACCCATATAAGAATGAGAAAATATTTTCTTAATGAGTCACTTCCTGTTTTAAGAGATTATGTAATTGTCCTGTACTTCTGGTTTTGGTCAATGTTATTTCATTCATCAGCAGATGTTGTACATTTATCTGTTGTACGAAGAGAATCATAAAAAAAAAAAAAAAGCCATGACCTGCTGTGAATTGAAAAACCAAGTTTTTTGGCTAAAACTCAATGTCTGTGCTTGCTTCTGTTGCTGGGTTGTGGGCCTCTTGTGGGCAGGGGCTGAATGTATATTCGTATTTTTTTGCATTATAGGAGCATGATCAGAGTTGAGAAATGGAATATGACAGTGTGGGTTTGAATCATGGCTATGCCATGTTCTGGCTTGTGACCTTGGGCAATGTCCCTGGCCTCTTTATTTTTTTTTATTTTTTATTTTTTTCTTTCTTGAGAGAGAGTCTCACTCTTGTTGCCCACACTGGAGTGCAGTGATGTGATCTTGGCTCACTGCAACCTCTTCCTCCTGGGTTCAAGCAATCCTCCTGCCTCAGCCTCCTGAGTACATCCCTCCCGGGATTACAGGCATGTGCCACCGTGCCCGGCTTCTAATTTTTTTTTAATTTAAATTTTATTTTTATTTTTCCTGTAATGCTGAGTTCTCGGCCTCCTTAAGTCCTAGTTTTTCTTTTGTAAAGTGGGTTAATAATGGACCTACCTCACAGGGAGGTTGGGCAGAATGAATGAGTTCATACTTGGAAAGGGCTTAGAATAGTGCCTGGCACAGTATGAGCCGGTACTAGATGCCAACTTGCATTATTTCCTCATTTGCTTGTTTAATTCTAGCCATAAACCACCTAAGCAAGAGCTCACCATGGCTCTTTGCACTTGGTACATAGAATCTGATCTCAGACAAGTGAGAGACCAGGGCACTGAGGCCCGCTCTAGGCCCAAGGGGATGCATGAGTGGGATACATCCCCATAGGCTGTGGTGCACTGGAATGGAGGCCATAACCTGAGAGGGGACAACTTCTTGGATAAACACTCAAGTGGAAAGCTGAGCACAACACTCCTACCAGTCACAGTCTGAATGGGCTTGGCAAAGGAGAATCTAAGTACAAAGTACAGGAGGGCAGAGACCTGATAAGAGAGAAAGATGGAAGAGGACGGTAGAATTGGAGGCAGAGCCTGGGGCATCATGCTTTTGGCTGCAGGTATGAGTAGGTATTGGTGTTGACTGCGTTAGTACATCTGTTTCCTGCCCCATGGCTGCTGATGTGTCTGTATATGAGCTCCAAGAATCAGAATGGCAACTCTAGACAGCAGGTCCCTCCTGGTCAGACGTAGGCCTTTAAAGTTCAACATCTTGGTGGTATATTGCTGGACAAGAGTAGGCCTAGGCCATTAGAGGGTACCCTGGATGCTCAGTGCTGCCTTTCCCCTGAGAATCAGGGTGATTTGACTCAAGCCTTCCCTGCCTCTGGGAACAAAATCAATAATTGGGCTTGAGGCCTCTTATAAACCCCCCTGGGCTCAGGTGGCTAATTAGCAGGTAAGAAACAAGGCAGCACACTTTTATTCTTCTTGTGCTATGGTTTTCATCAGCTGCGAGGTCACGAATCCACTTACATGCACAGACTCAGAGCAGCAGGAGAACATTAATTATTATGAAGTGGAAAGGCAGAGTCTCCTCTCCTCACATCATCTCTCTAGGCCTCCAGCTCTTCATTTTCCTCCTCCCCTCCTGGTGATTTGTCACTGAAGATTCTAGGCCCAGAATCCTGCCTTGGTTGAAAATGGTTGTTATTAGTGCAGCACCCTTCATCTCTTTTCATCTAATCTGCAGTTAGGGGGCTTCATCTAGAGTAATTATGTGGATTTCTTCTGTCTAGTTAACTTTGCCACCTGGTTAACATTGAACACTTGGGAGGAGTGCAGGAGTCCTACAAGCGGGTAAGGTAATTGCCAGCTGAAATAAGGGCTCTGAAAGAAACAAACAGGAACATGATAGGACTAACCTGGGCATAGCTGTGCTCAGAGTACCTAATTTATTAAAAATCTACTACGTGCCAGGTATTATGCTAATTGTTTTACATGGATTCGTGCTTAATCCTCATAAATACCATAATATAGGTGCTGTTCTCTCCATTAAATTTTTTTTTGTTCTACTTAGAACTAATTTACTAAGAATATTCTATGTTCTCTTCTTTTCTTTTCTTTTTTTTTTTTTTGAGACGGAGTCTTGCTCTGTTGTCAGACTAGAGTTTAGTGGTGCAGTCTCAGCTCACTGCAACCTCTCCCTCCCAAGTTCAAGCGATTCTCCTGCCTCAGCCTCCTGAGTAGCTGGTATTACAGGCATGTGCCACCACGCCCAGCTAATTTTTCTTTTTTCTTTTTTTTAAATTTATTTTTAAGACGGAGTTTCATTCATGTTGCCCAGGCTGGAGTGCAATGGCGTGATCTCAGCTCACCACAACTGCCGCCTCCCAGATTCAAGCGATTCTCCTGCCTCAGCCTCCTGAGTAGCTGGGATTACAGGCTCATGCCACCATGCCCGGCTAATTTCGTATTTTTAGTAGAGACGAGGTTTCACCATGTTGGCCAGGCTGGTCTCGATCTCCTGACCTCGTGATCCGCCCACCTCAGCTTCCCAAAGTGCTGGGATTACAGGCGTGAGCCACCGCTCCCGGCCTATTCTCTCTCTTTTCAAGGTGAGGAAGCTAAGCAGTGAACTACACTCCTACCTTCTCTAGTACTGATTGAGCTGGGATCAAAAGCTGGACTCCAAAGCCTATGCTTTTAATTACTTTGCCTCAATATAATTTCCATGAAGGTGGGGGAATTTATCCATCCCTCTTACTATGGGTCTCCAGTACCTGGAACAATCCCTGGTACCTAGGTGTTCAATAAATATTTGTTGGGTGAATGAATGAAGGAATAAGCTCTCCCAGTGTCAGTGTGTTTATAAAAGCCAATCCTTTTTATCTTTAGAGTTTAGCAGACTCTCTTCTACCTGTCTTCACTTCTGTCCTCAAAAAACCAGACTTTTATCCAGAGAGCATGCACGTCTCCCAAGTATTTATAGCTTTATTTCTTTGTCCGGTAAATGTTTGTTGAGGGCCTACTATGTGCAAAGCACCATGCTTGGCCCTGTGTGAAGCAAATATTAAGGCAATGAGGTGGAATCTGTTCTCAGAGCTGTGTTGTGCATGAAATAAGGTTATTCTTTGGTAGTTCATTCTTGAGAAGAATCCTTATGGAGTTCAGTAACCTCTTCTTGAGGCAGAAGTAAATGCTTAGGGATTTGG